TTTTGACTGAAACAAGGTATTGGGCACTGACTGCATCTATTCTCTTTCAAATTCAGATTTGAGCAAAGCATGAATTTTAATTTCATGTTGTATCTTCAACCTCTTTAAATATACATGCTATCTTGTCAGCCATGGATATGAAGTGTATGTCAAGCCTGCTATTCTACATATGTTATTCTGGATTTTTTTGTCAGCAGAACCCCAGTCATCAGCGTTCTATATATGGCAGACAGCTGTACTGTCTGTAGCTTTCTGTAGAGAAAGATGCATTAGAGATGTATATATTTATTACCAATTATAATTCAGTGCTGAAAACATTGAGTCCTAGGCCCTTGCACACAAGGCCTCTAAACTGTCATCCTCTGATTGTGTTGGAGCCTGTGCCTTTGAATTCATTACAACCAAACCACGCTTAATTTGCCTCCTCCCCTGAGAGCCATTAGCGTCTGTGGCATCAAACTGGTGGAGCGGCAAAAGACGAGTGGCAGGTACGCTCCATCCATCTTCCCTCCCCGCCGGGTGAGCCAGGGCTTCCTATGCGCTGTGCTTTGAAGAGTATTTGCCACACAAGAGCCCAGCGAGTCCAGTTGGTTTTTGCTACCGCAGATGCATTTTGGGGAAATCTCTGAAGAGTGTTATCAGCTACTCCACTTCTTTAGCTGAGCTTGTTGGAGACAATGAAAATATTGTTTGATTTGAGGAGGCAATGTATGCATTGTGCCCAATAGTCAGAAGAGGTTGGGAGGTGGTGTTTAATCATTTAAAGCAGTGGTTAAAAGCAGCACAGGAAGGTACGGGATGAATTATGCAGCAAAGTGTATGAGAAGCAGCCATGAGTTTGGATGTTCTGTTTGGGGAGACCTGGGGCATCTTTGTTTTTGTTAGTTTTTATTTCTTTTAGTTTTTTGTTAGGTATTTTGTAACTCAATTTTATCTTATTGAGTGTGTATTTTACATGGATCTCCAAATCAATGCATGTATTGGCTCAAAAATATTTGCAAAAATAGAATTTCTCTTTTTCAGAGTCCAATAACTAGGCCTATATTATGCCTCTGTAAGAAATTCAGTTCAATTGATAGGCTTACATCTATAAGTTTCAGTTAATGAGACTGTCCTGGTCAAAAACTACACACAGTATCACTGTTACAGGCAAACCCACTCTGTCAAGGAGATGAACATTTTGTGCTAACAGTGGCATTTTACATATGAATTACTTGAAATTGTCACCGTACTGGTAAAACACGTCATGTTAGAGTGATGTCTTGTTATACTAATAATGTCAATTATATGCTTACTTGCCCATGTGGTCCAGCTTATTCTTGAAAGGCAAGTATAGGCCTGGACAGTAGAACATAACAATGTGAGTCATAATGGGGTGGCTCAGAGGCAGAGTGGGTTGTCCACTAATCAGAAGGTTGATGGTTCGATCCCATGCTCCTCCCGCTGCATGTCAAAGTATCCTTGAGCAAGATACTGAACCCCAAATTGCTCCGATGCCGTGCATGAGTGTGTGAATGTGTATGAATGTGTTAGCTTCTGTTGGATGGGCTTTGCCATCACTGTGTGAATGTGTGTGAAAGGGTGAATGTGGCATGTGGTGTAAAAGCGCTTTGAGAGAAGACTAGAAAGGTGCTATACAAGTACAGGTCCATTTACCATTTACCATAACAACAAGAGGTTTCATCCATGTCTACATTACTTCCTTCCACTGCAGGGACTTTTGTAAGATGTAACCGATGTCACAGATTCAGCTTTTATTTCCCCTATTCTGCAACCACTTTGGGTAAGAGTTCATGGAACTCAATGTGTACACTGCTCAGGACCTGATAAAGGTTTGTTCCAGGTACTTTTTAGGCCATGGTGATTGGTCATGCAGATGTGTCATCTGGCAGAAATGGGGATATGACACAGAGCCAAACAGCCCGTACCAAAGACTCAGGTTAAGGTTAGGGTTATGAGAAGAACCAGGTTACTGGTTCTAAGTTCCTGCTGTAGTAAAGAAAGATTTGAGATACACTGCCACTAAATCACTAGTAATAATAATAATAATAATATAAAGGTTAATAATACATGTATTGAGAAAGAAAAAATATATGAGTGAAAAATAAATCATATCAATACAATAAATATAAATTTGGAATTGATATTTATTATGTCTCTTATTGTAAAGTTTCTTTAAGTTTCTTTTTTTGATTCAAGTATCTACTGGATGAGAGACACCCACAGATGCTGGATGTTCACAGATACAAGGGCTTTCACCCCAAATTTCTCAAGAGCAAAGTAGTGTGAAAGTGCTTTTGAACAGCACGGGCCACCTTAAATTTGCAAGAGATGAGAGAAGAGCTAGGACAGACATGGCAAACAGTGAAACAAAACACCGTTTTGATTCAAGCTGACAGGTAGAAAGCTGAAAACATTGCTTTTTGACACAAATACCTTCCATCATTTATAATCCAGAGCCTTGAGTGTATGCTATCTGAAAATGATTCAGGTCACTGGAAGACAAGGACATTTGCCCCTGCACAGTGAGAGGAGGCTGCATTGTTGTAAGATGCCATACAAAGTGCTGCTGTTATGTTATGCTCAAACACTCGTGCTCATTATCTCACACTAAATCTGTCATTTCTTTTTCTTTTTTAAAGTTGTTTTTTTTTTTTAGATGAATTATTCGGCTTTGTAAAAGAGAACTCATCATTTCTATGAATCTATTTCATGTGAAAGCCTGCCGGCAATGCACATTTGTGCAGAAAAGAGGAAGGACAAGAGATACCACAAATGTATCTAAATTTAGATTGCTCAAAGGAAAAGGCATAATTCTTTTAATTAAGTCAGCACTAATCCATCGAATTGGCCCTCTTTGTTTTCACCCACCTACCATGTTATAAGAGATATCCTTCATTGTCTCAAGGTGTGTTGACAGTGGCTCTTAATTCTGTAGGTATTCATGAGGGCACAATCTATCTGCTTCCTTTGCCTCTGGGAAACATACTTTCTGAAGGTTAATAAACAACCCTGCATATCCCAAGCCCTGAGATCATTTATCAGATTGCGATCTCTTACAGACTCTGAGAGTGGCATGCCGTTTTATCATTTTAACAACGACGGCTAAAAGTGCCTCAAGAAGTCTGCCTAATAGGTTATTTTGTTATATGATTTCGTTATCAGATTTTTTTTTTCCTTGGTAGTCTGGTCTAGGTCGCTATATAGTAGCAGCTCTGAATCCCTAATGAATACTCACATTAATGTCCCCGGAGCAGGCAAAGAAATAATAGGGCCCTCCCTGGGCAGCAGTGCTACCCATGTCCCATCTATTTCTATGGCACAAGCTGTGGTCCTGCTATTTTTTTACTGTAGCCCAGCTCTGTCCAAGCTATTTTTGTTACTGATTCAGAGACCCTATCTGTCTGAGCAGCTCATGTTAGTGTGTTTACCACAATCTCTTTGACAGCTGTCACTCTCATTCTCAGAGTCACCAAGAAGCAGCAGAATGCTATTGTAATTTTATTTGGACTATTTCCAGGTATAATGGGATGCAAAATTGTTCAAATGCATTGTGCTCAGGGCCTTTGGCTCATAAATTCTTGACTCAAAATAATATAATAAAACTGTGCATCATTCATTCATCACCATCCATTGGGTGTCTTAGAAAAAGGAAATTGTGTTTAACTTTTGTGTCGCCAAAACATAGGCTATGAACTGATGATGATGTATGACAGCATTGAGCTTTCATCTTAAATGACATTTCATACAGTCAACAATCAGCATAAAACAATTTACCTTTCCTATTAAGTCCCGCCTCTTTTTGCTCTGTCCTCCAATAACAGTTGAGCAAGCTTTAGTCAAAACTGTCTCCTTTCCTGTCCTTAGATATTCTATGTGCTAGCTCATTTACGTTGAACATTTCGAAGATGGTTAAAAGATAAAAGAGACGAATAGTCACATCTTTGTTAGGTAAGGTTAGCAGAATGCTAGCTAGCTAATCAACATCAATTGTTAGTTAGGTAGTTAGCTGACTAGTTAGCTAATAGCTAACATTTTACTACAGTGAAAAATAATAATATTTTTAAAGCCGATCTACATTAATAGTTTACTGGCCAGATACATGTATGTTAATTACTAGCTAATTAGCTAGCATTTTGTTGACGTTAGCTATTATTAACTAAGCTACGATATGACTGTAAATGTCATGTTAACTATCTTCATACATAATACAGCAAAGGAGAAAGTTGACCAAGCTTCAAAAAGGGGCAGGACTTGCACCTGTACACCAAGATCCATAAGACCAACACCTGAAAAATAAAAATAAATACGTAAAATAAAGATTAAGATATGCAAATAAAAGCCATAAAGAAAAAATATATAAATAGTGTTTTAATGTCAGTATTTCACTTAAAACTAAAAAAATAAATCGTTGATGGTTTTCAACCTCAATCAAATGATTTTTTTCTGGCAGTTGTATGATAAAGATTGTATAATTACTGTCTTAATCAGAGTCATTTTAGAAATTCATTGCTGTTCTCAAGTGAGTCTGGGATGTGTTAGCCTAGTTTAGCATAAAGGCTGAAAGTAGTTGGAAACGGCTAGCCTAGCGCCTTCAAACAACCCCAAAGCTGTTTGACTTATGGTTCTTGGTTGTTACATTTCTTTTTCTCCAGGGCACCCTCTAGCTTACCTGGTAGAGCTGCGCCCTCATGGGTTCGAATCTGACCTGTTGCCCTTTGCTCATGTCATCCCCCTTCTCTCCCCCATTCCTGTCAACCTTCAGCTGTCCTATTAAATAAAGGCAAAAATTACTTCATTTTTTTATTCTTTAAGGTTTCAATAAACAACATAGAACATGTACATTAACAATTCCTGCTAGCCAGACTAGGATATGAGTTTTTCACTTACCAGTCATTTTGCTAAGCTGAGCTAAGCTAGACACCCCCCAGAGTTACTTTTGTGTACTGAGGCTTGGGGAATGACTTACATCATGTATCTTCCTTGTGTGTGTGGCTCAGGTTGTTTGGTGTAACAGGGAACTGCGCAGCTTGCAGCAAACTAATTCCAGCCTTCGAGATGGTCATGAGGGCCAAGGAGAATGTCTACCACCTGGACTGCTTCGCATGCCAGCTCTGCAATCAGAGGTGAGTGATTGGACCACACTCCTGGTCCTTCCCCATACCTGCGTCTAGGCAGATGACTGGTCAGGGAAGCGAGATTGCAGCATAGTGAATCGCAAGTGCTGCTGATAGTTGAAGAAAGATCCCATATTTGCAATTTATCACTCTAACCAGTGACTAAGTAGACACGTCTGGGGCCATAGGGACACCTGCTTGACCCATCACAGTGATTATAATCCTGCACTACTACTGCACAGTGTCAGCCTGGAGCTACAGGTGCAGTTGCATGTCCATACATATGCTTCCAATCAGTCTTCATTACTGGGCCTCCACCTGTATCCTGCAGACAGGATGTGGTCAGAGATTTCAGGACACTGCTTCTTAACACAGCAGCAGAGGAGACGGAGCAGTTTGGATTGGCATTGCCCTTGAAATAAAAACCCTTCTTTAATAAACTCCAGTGTCATCCTCACTGAACCTTAATGCTACCCCTACAATGAGTTTATTATGTATGTTGTTTTTTCAATCCAATACAACAACCCTGTAATAGCACCAATTAGTGGTGGTCTAGAGCCAGTGTTTTGGTTAGGTTATATAATCACCTGAAAATAAAAAGAAATATTATTTTGTTACCTTCGAAAACTTTTCTTGACATATGTTACACATTCATTTGCATTCACGTTATGTGAATGTTGAAGGCACATTTCCCCAAACATTCTGGAGAGTCTCATATGGCACTTGTTCCCAGATGGTAGTCATGTTACCATGATGGAATCATTTGTGGGAACATTCTTGGAGCTAATGAATGAACCAGAAGGTTTTTTGAAGGTTACAAGGAACACTATCAAACAGTGAACCTTAGGGGAACGTCAGTAAGGTTATGTGTTGGCTGGGTTCCTGCATTTCTCTCATCTCTTCCCAAACTTGGCTTTGTTGCACACACACAGACACAAGCCCCCGCATGCAACCACACACACACACACACACACCGACACACACACACACACACACACAAACCAGATATGTTGCGCATGCTAAAGGCAAAGGACCTGGTTACACACAATTAGCACTCGGTTATTGTCTTGCCACTTCAGCTGGCTGCACCAGACAGCCTCTCTTAATGAAAGAAGTCAGCTAATCTTCATCAGCCAGGCCCAGGCAGGCCAACTCTGCTCCTGCACATTAAAACCCATTTAAGTGTGAGCAAATCTTTCTTTTTATATTAGGCCAGTTGATGAACTATTGAATAAAATCGACATCAGTGTGTTTCACATGGTCCGCTGTGGCCTTGCAAGCACCGTTCAGATGCCCATCACAATTTCACCGGGGCTTGGCCAAGATTTATGGTGTGGCACCAGCTTTAATTGAAGCTGTTCCTCAGCTCTGACTTTTTGTTTTCCATTTTGTTACTTTACATTGGTAGAGCTGTTGTGGGGGGAGAGATACCTGTGCAGGAATATTAAGTTAAAGGATCACTCCGTTTGCCATGAGTTCACATCCTAGAGGAACAGCACTGCCCAGAAAGTAACTAATGGCAATATAATTCAATGTGTACAGTTTTAAATCAAACTGATTATAACACAAATTATATTTATCAATATTAGCTCTGTCTGCAAACACGAGAACCCACTAGTTGGCTGTTTTATCGCACAGCAAGATTTAATCTCTGAAGTCATAAATCTAACATTTGTGACAGAATTAATTGATGTCTGTCTTTCAAAAGATTTGGAATTCAGAGCAGGTCTAATGCATTCTCAGTGACAGCGTTACTAAATAAGTCTCGTCTAAGTGGGTTTCTCAACATTTATTTCCAGATTAATAGAATGACCTTTCACAAATTTTCTCAGTTTCAGCCTGAGATCTATCAGGAGATCTCACTTAAGATTCCCTGAATAGTTTCTCAGCGTCTTGTTGCAGCTGGTCTGGAAATGGGCTCCTGTTCTTTGTCTGGCATACCGATCTGCTGCCTTGTTCATCTATACCAGCTCTGTCCCGTCTCGTTTCCCGACCTCAAACAAACATGAAAGCCCCCCATTGACCCCCTCTCCCCCACAGGCCCTTCAATAAAGCAATCTAATCCATCTCACAAATGGCCCAGAGATTTCTCTGTGGAACATCGTCAAATGTGAAATCTGATAAACAGAGCAGGCAAACGCGAGGTCAGCAAGGGTCACCGGTGTAATTATCTGTCGCTCCTGCAGGTCAGCCACAGCCCATGTTGGTGTTTGAAGGTTGAATTGCTACAATCACGTATGAACATACAGTCACCCCTATCACACACACATACTCGCTCATGCATCTATCCACGCCATCAGTTGCTTTGTGGATCCATCCTCCCTACTGTATCTGACAGAGCAAGGACAGTGATTATTCTGATTTCATCAGGCACTCTGCAGGACTCTGATGGCTATTGCCATGCCCAGCTATTAAGGACCTTGCTTAAGTTTTAGGCCAGTTAGTGCAGGGCAGAGATAGAAAGACAGGCTAGTTAGCTAAGGACGTGTGGTCATGTCACCTCTTGATGACTCTTGTCATCATCACCATCAAATTGGCAGCAATCTCTTGCTTGCCACGAAAGAAGCAATGAAAGTTGAACCTGCTTCTGGAATAATATAAATGGGAAAGCCTCACCAGTTATCTTATCCCCCCCCCCTTTCTTCGCTCTGTGCATGACTTTGAAATGGTATCAAGCTGAGGAGAGTGAATAGCTCCTGTCCCTGGTCTATCAGTGAAAATATAGGATCCTACATTGGCTCTGATTGCTCATGTCTGCACCCAATGTGGCCTTACTCTGTTAAACTGGACATAAATCTACCGCCGTGACCTTCCCACTAGCCAGACCTGTTATTTCCCACTACCTGAGCTGAGGAAAGGAAGCACCGTGGTCTTAGAGCCAAAGGGATGTGGGGCTGGTTCTGAGGAGAGAGGGGTGTTGGTGAGGGTTAGGAATAAGAACGGAGATATGAGACTCCATCCAGCAAGCAGTTAGCCACAGATCAGCCCTGGGGGACAGCTAATCGATGGGGCTGTCGTCCAGCCTCATCATCTAGCCAGTGCTGGCCCAATTTCCCCCTGATGAGCTGAAGGCCACAGTCTAGGGAGGCTGGAGGAAGGTTAGAGTAAAGGGAGCAAAGGAAAGCAGGATGGGTGACAGTGCAGGGGAAGGTCAATGCTGATAAGGGAGGATGCTCCATACTGGAGCTTTGGAGGGAGAGACTGACACCACTTGGGTTCAGCAAAGCTTAGCTCAGCCACTGGTGCCTTGTATGTCATGAGTTAGGCTTGTTAGACAGGGACCTAATAGCCAATAAGGGACACAGTTGTCATTTTGTGTATGATTGGTGTTGAGAACTCAGAGCCTGTGCAGCCAGCCTACTGCAGAACACAATTTAACTACCTAATCCTGCACTATTGGAGGACAAAAAAAATCACAATTTAAAGTAAAAAAGACACATTTCATGCAAATAAATGTCAGTTTTTCTCTACTAAAGGAGATGATAGAATAGTGTTTCAACCAATAGCCGTTCAAAAATTTTAGTATTCAGCATTCTAGAGATCCTAGCTACGCACCATCACTGGCCACATTTTGAAGGTCTTCAATATAAGACTGATCTTGTCATGACTTTGAGTCCCATTTTAGGGCTTGCCATTTTCGAATAGCGCAAAACGTAGCTGCATTTGGAAGAACCTAGGAATGTACGGTATTTGGGTCTGAAATGGTAAATGGATGGTAAATGGACCTGTACTTGTATAGTGCCTTTCTAGTCTTCCGACCACTCAAAGCGCTTTTACACTACATGCCACATTCAACCTTTCACACACATTCACTCAGCGATGGCAAAGTCCATCGACACAGTGGGTGCAATGGGTGGGATATATTAGGCAGCAAGTAAACATTTTGTCCTTGAAGTTGATGTGGGCGGCTGTGGTGCAGAGGCAGAGCGGGTTGTCCCCTAATCGGAAGGTTGTTGGTTCTGCAGTTCCTGGAGGAACCAGCAACTGGGTCATGGACAGCCAAGTCTCATTGATGTATGTGTGGTCCAATCAAACAGCTACTGTAGCTCAAACTGATTGAAAAGTTAATGCTGGTTCCCATAGAAAGGTGTCAGAACACACAGTGCATCACATTATTACCACCAGGGTGACCAGTCAGGTCATAATGTTATGGCTGATCGGTGTATGGACAGGAAATATGAGGCAGCATTTAAAATAGGACTCAGCTAAATGTCTGCTGACACTTGAAAGTGGCCCAACAAAAAGTATTCATGTGTCCTTGTGAAATAGATTTTGTCACCAGGACAAGTTGACTTTATAAAATTAGAGGCAAGGGCAACAGCCCAACATTTTGAAGTTGATTTTTTAGATTTTGAATTTTGGGGGTAACTTCACCTCTATCCAGATTCAGCACCCACCACAACATAAGAGTCCAAAGTCAAAGCTAACATTACTGTAAATAAATACATTGCAAATAGTAATGTTATTCTAAATATGATTGTATTTAATTTCAGTATTCAGTTTCATGTATGTCTCAACCTGACATATGTGAGTGCTGAGCATCATAGATGGAGAAAGACAAACTAGAGGACTAAAGCTTTTTAGAACACAGCAATCGTTTAGCACCAAAGATGGAGACAAAATACATAAAAAATGTCAATCTACTCCTTTCCAGATGTGAAATTATATTCTCTACATTACATTCCCCAAAGAAAAATTACACTGTTGCTGTCTGATTGCCCAGCAGCAATCTGCCAGAGAAGATTTACAACATGCTGTTACAATTAAGCATCAGTGTCATAGGGCAAAGTGTTTCTGAACCTGTATGCATCCTAACTGTAATTAGATTTTGTGCAGTTGAGACTATTTTCTCTCTTTGACAATCTCCCTGCTTCTTCATTTGAGTGGAAAGTGAATACTCTAGTTAACATGGGCCTCCGAGGTAAATTGCTGGCATCGCAATACATCTTTTAAGTGTGTGCCTGTCGAAGCCATTCTTTCTCTTCCTCCTACAACAAGAGGTCTCTAAA